TCCTGGGCTCAAGTGATTCTCCTGCCTCCGCCTCCCAAGTAGCTGGGACCACAGGCACCCGCCACAATGCCCGGCTATTTTTGGTTGCAGCCGTCATTGTTGTTTGGTGGGCCTGGGCTGGATTCAAATCCGCCAGCTCATAGGCACAGAACCTGCTGAGAGTTTTAAATCATGAGTCAGTGTTGAATATTTTTAAATTCATAAAAATGAATTCATTACAAAATATTTGAAATATTTTTTTTCCTTTCACCCTCATTTTTTTCTTTCTCTTTTTCTCTTTTCTCCCTTCTTGCTCTGTACTGGTCTCTTCCTTCTGTCCCTATACCAAAAGATACTTCAACACCTATGCACAGAGACAAGGTAATTTAAAGTGAAGGAAAAAGTGAGAGAAAAAAGTCGGGGAAGAAGTGAACAGGAAGAGAATACACATGATGAGGAACCAACAGAAAAATTCTGGCAATTTGAAAAACCAGAACAGATCAGTACCCCTTCCACGGATCATGAGGTAGCTACCAAGGAGGATTTCACCTACAAAGAAATTATAGAAATGACAGAAAGGGAATTTAAAATATGGAGGGCAAAAACAACGATGGGAATTGACACAATAGTGAAAAATCAACAAAAGGAAATCCCCAAACTGACCCAAATAATGAATGAAAAACATGAAGAAATTAGAAAGAATATAGTGAAGCTTATGGAATTGAAGGAGTCAATCGGGGAACTTAAAGATGCAGTACAAAGTATCAATAATAGATTAGACCAAGAAGAAGAAAGAATCTCAGAGTTAGAGGATAAGGCTCTTGAGCAAACCTGTCATACCAAGAGGCAGAAAAGAAGATAGAAAAAGCAGAACAATCACTTAGACATTTATGTATGGGACTTTTTAGTAGAGTTAGGGTCTCTCTCTCGCTCAGGCTGGTCTGGAACTCCTGTGCTCAGGCGATCTACCTGCCTTGGCCTCCCAGAGAGCCGGATTACAGGTGTGATCCACTGCACTGGCCACTGTTGCCACTAGTATTTAACACAGTTCTGGAACTTCTAGCCAATGCAATTAGGCAAGGGAAGGACATTAAGGGGATCCAAATGGGGACAGAGGAGGTTAGACTCTTGCTCTTTGCTGATGATATGATCTTATACTTAGAAAACTCTAGAGTCTTAACCATGAGACTCTGACTATAGCATCTCAGGGTATAAAATCAGTGTCTACAAATGAGTAGTCTTTCTATATATCAATAATAGCCAAGTTGAGAAGCAAATCAAGGAGGACATAATTCCCTTCACAGTAGTAGCTTCAAAGAAAATGAAGTACTTAGGAATATACCTACCAAAGAGGCTGAAGGATCTCTATAAACAGAATTTTTTTCTGTTTCTAAATTTTTTTTTCTAATTCTTTTCTAAGAAAAGAAATAGCAGAGGACATTAACAAAAGGAAGACCATACCATGCTCTTAGCTGAGAAGAACATTGTTAAAATGTCTATACTACATAAAGTGATCTATAGATGCAATGCAATTCCCATTAAAATACCAACATCACATTTTGAAGAACTGGAAAAAATAGTTCTTTGTTTTGTACAAAACCAGAAAAAAAACCCATATAGCCAAGATAATTCTTAGTAATAACAACAAAGCTGGAGGCATCACTCTACCAGATTTCAGATTATTACAAGTCCACAGTGATCAACACAACATGATATTGGCACAAAAATAGAGACATAGACGAAACCAGGTTATTGCCACCTGATCTTTGATAAACCAAACAAAAGCATGTAGTGGGGAAAAGAATCCCTATTCAATAAATGCTGCTGGGAGAATTGGATAACCACTAACCACATGTAAAAAGACTGAAACTGGACCTGTAACTTTCACTACTTATAAAAATTAACTCAAGATGGATAAAAGATTTAAAACGAAGACATGAAACAATAAAAATACTGGAAGAAAGTGCAGGGAATGCACTTGGCTATTATTTTTTTTTTTTTTTTTTT